CTCTGCTGCGTGGAGCTGGGCTCGAACCACTGAAGTGTCGACCATTTCTGGCCAGCAACTTTCAGCGTCATTAAGCCGCTGCGCCACTGCGTCCCTGTCGGAATTCATACTTACATGTATTATAATAATATTGACTGTATCTGGGACCATAATTGGAATGATAATCTACAGTGCCTCTTTCAGCACTGTTCGGTCTGCAGCCAATGCTGTCCATGTTTGAGATGGTTATAGACAGTCAGGCCCAGCCCAAGAACAACAGGGAAACAGTTCAGCCAAGTTCAGTTCTTTTACTGCTCCCACCATATAGACAGAATCTTGCTTTGTACTACTCTAACGTAGTGGATATACTCTGGGAGATTCTAGGGAGTGGCTATCCACAATCTCTTCCTCTTCCCATGCTCCTGCTCTGGACTGTGCTTCCTCCTTCCTGAGAACCTGGTGCTCTACTTCGTTCAATCACATAGATATGGCTATAGTCTTGATTGCTTAACCAGCACAATGGTCTTATTTTTATGATAATTATGACTCAATGTCATAATTCAGCTCTGAACTTCCATCTATTTCTTTCATGGATGCCACTGTTAGGGAGCAGCCCCCTCCTGCTGTAAGAAGACATATGGGCATACATGGAACAGCTTACCCAGATTATTTTTTTCTCAGTTTAGAAGTAAAATCTTTGTAGCAGCTAATAAAGGATCAGATGTTCCAATTGGTGCCTGACTCTGCAGTGCTGAAATTTCATATCTTCTCAATCACTATCACTTTTTTATTGCTAAGCAAATTTTATGTCTAATCACCCCCTCTTGTACATAGCTCAAGATGCAAATAAACACCATCTTTTCATTACATGAGGATGTTAATTATTAGAAATCACATATTTTGCCCTAGCAAATAATTTCATTCATTGATGTTCACCTGGATGTGAATGGGGGAGTGCATTCAGCTTAGGGGTTTTTCCACTGGGCATCTGATCTCAAGGATGTCTTGCAATCGCCCCTTGGCTCACATGGCATCAGTAACCACTGTTATACCCTTTACGGCCCTCCAGATGAGGGTGCTGCAGTCCCCATTCCATCATCTGTTCTCTGTATTCACACCTCAGGCTGGGTAGTCTATAGTTTACTGTTTAAACTATCACAGTGACACAAAATCAACTTTACCTCAACACGTCATCCTTACAATATTGGACTGGTGCATTATGAGACCACTGAGTGTACATCTTGCATGCTGGGACAATATCTGGATACATACTTAGATTTTTCCCCCCATTCTCAAAATTTCACCAATGTGTTTTTAGACCTCTTTTGGGGAGGGGCAAGGAACCCTGTTGCAAGAAAGAGGGAAATGCTTTCCAAGTTAACCAGTCCCAGGGATCAGTGACATTGATAACCAATCACAAGGACACAAAAATGGTGAAGATGTGTGATGCCATAATTGTATATTGTATCATGATATCTAATACTGTGATGGAATGGAATTATGAAGGCCAGGCTCAGGGAGCATTTTCTTACATCTCCTGAGGAGTGTGGGAGATACAAGAGGATGAGACTGGCACTCCCTGAGGAATTCACAATGTTGTGGCTGGCTGACTTTGGGAGATGGGGTTTCAGTCTGGGAAGATTCTTGCTAGAGGCTGTAGCTAATAAACATAGCTGGACTGAATTTACATGGTCTTTTGGAGTTCCTTGGGCTAGGCCTGGCAAATACAAATTTCTAAGGTGAAGGATTTGCATGATGGTGATGCATGAGTCATCCTTTGGCCTCCACGGTCTCCTTGCAGGTGCCCATGACAGTAATTCCTCCATTTTCATTGGTCTCTCAAATAGCAGCTCTCAGAACTCAGTCAGACATATTATCTTCCTCTGAGGAACACCAGGCCATGGAATCTAGTATTTCAGATGCAGAGGAGTTATGCCCCTTTTCTAGTACAGTACTTCTCTATGCCTGCCTCTGATGCTGAGAATTTTGATCTGAATTGGCTGTTGTGGGCTCATTGGCTCTGCTTTGCCATGCATAGGACAGCACTCAAGTTTGTCCAGTTCTTGGACATACTTCGGCTGCTCTTTTTTCTTGCAATTAGATGATTAAATAATAATATAATTAGGTTTTGTGAGTATCTAAAAGTCATTCATGCAGAGGAGTTCTTTAGCAGAATGGAATAGACCCTGCTTTTTCCTGATTGCTTGGAGATTGTTCCTTTTTCATGCATAATTTCTCAACAACTGAAATTTCCCTTTGGGATGTGAGATTGAAAGACTTTCAGTTGCTTCTTTAAGAACTTACCTAGCTGCTATCTTCATATTTTGAGGTACCGTTAATGTTTTTCCCCCCTGTTTTCTTGTATCCTGTTGTTAGCAATTTTAGAAAGATATATCAAGACCAAAATGTGGTTTTCCAAAAGATAAAAGATGAACAGATGGCAACATTGTAGCCAGATATCATGTTATAAATACCTAGAAATAGTGTTCAGCAACTGGGCCTAGGGGCAAAAAAAATAGCTTGCCACTGGTAATACCCTGATAAGAGACGTGGCTATTTTCCACTTTTTCCAGTGTGAACTTAGAACTTCTAAGTTGTCATCGTTTTTGTTGCTAAACCTGTAGCCCAATTGTTTTATGGTTCTCATCACTGGGCTTCTGTTTAACTAAGCTGAAAAGAGTTTGATCAGAATTCCTTCAGGCTGTCTTCTCAGTAGCATCCCTATGATTGGAAGCAGTTCTAATTAAGACTGAAGCCAAGGTCTGGATTTTAGTGATTAATTTTGGCTTAAATTAAATTTCGTCCTAGTGGGCTTAGCACCTATCCCTCTGATCGACAATTTTCAGTCTCCTTGGCACAGAAATCCAGAAACCAAATTGGCCTCATTTGGATTTCCTTTTAATGCCTTATTATCTATAGATTTTTTTAAAAAGCCAAACACGTTATTAGATAAAGAACTTTAGACTGTGAGCGTCAACATGATCTGGCTCAGCTACCATTACCCCAATGTTGTTCTGAACCTTTTTCAACTAGCCTGATATCTTACACATCCAACCACTTCAAGGAAGCATAGGGTCTTTCTTCTGGCTCCCTTGATATTTTACTATCAGCTGTGTTGGAGGGTAAAATTAATAATATCCCAATGGGACACTGGCTCTGCCTTTGTGGTTCAGGAGAAGCTGAGGCTGTGACGTATGTCCTACTGTGTCGATCATTTTGTTAAGATATTTGTGCAACTCATATCCTTCTATTTTTGACTAACAGACCAGGTTGTTTCTGATGTATTTTATATTTCCTTTTTGTTATTACTCTTAGCCTTTCCTTTTTGTTAAAACTCTTAGCCAGTTTTTTTTTTTGTTTTTACTTGTCAAGTTTAGCAAATTATATTTCCAAAAATGGGTTAATGGCAAATTATCCAAGCTTTATTAGAATTTTCCCAATATTTTTACCAGTATATGTTCCATTTGCTTTACGATCTTATTTGGGATTCGTGTATGACCATAATAATGATTTTATTTACCAGAAAGACTTACTAAGTTGTTTTCCTCCTTAGTCCCCTCTTTCTCAGTCTTTGGTCCAGTACTATGCTGGTCCTGAAATGTCAATTTACCCTTTCCCATTACTATTCTGGAAGACTGCCTTTCTAACCCCTGATTCGTCATTAGACATGCAATGTTTTATGCTGGAAAGTTCGGAAGTTGAAAATTGCATGGGGATAGGACAATTCTATACTGAGTTATTTTATCTAAATTTCATTTGTGGCAAAATGTAGTTCTCTCTGCATTTGCAGATCCTGAAAAATCCCTTGATATGTTTGATGTCTGATGAGAAGTGGTATTGATTCTGCAACTTTTGGGAAGACTCCATCCCTTGCACTCATTCTCTGGGTCCTGAAAGAGCATTCTGATCTTACCTCAGTGATGAGCAAAGTAGTCACAATCAAGTAACCATATCATGTGGTTACTTTTGCATGTTGTCAGAGGGACATAATATCAGTTGAGCTAATGCTTCATTCTAGCTCTCCACATTTTATATCTCTTTTATCTTGGCAATATGCAGCGTCTGACAGAGCAATCTTACCTGAATATTGATATGATGATGCATCTACTTCCAAGTGTATTAACTTGCTACACATCTGTTTGTGTGAATCATAGGGACCACATTGAAGAAGAACTGCTTATCCACTTGTAACACATTTAATTATACTTCCAATGGTTACTTGTGAACTCACACAATATACCTCTTTTCCTTCTTGGGTTTGAGTTTAGCCCATCTAGCTTTTGGAGTGATGTGTCAGTCTTCATAACTAAGAGGAATAGTAGGCAGTCTTGCCTGTAGGTATGGCCTGCTATTGAAAGGCAGGTATCCCAGTGAAAACCCTAGGCTCTGAAACATTCCAACTCGGCTACTGAGTAGTCTTCAAAGCATATGTGTGAATTCATGGGCAATCACTCAAGGAGTCACACTTACAGGAAAGTAACAAGTTCTCTCCTACACTAAGGCCATCATAACTGGTCTGTAGAAATTCAGATGTCCATTACATGGCAGCAGAGTTAGAGTTCCTGTAACTTCCTGCTGTTATCTAGTAGTCATATTGAGTTTTACAGTCCGGATATAGTATCTCAGTCAGAAAAAAATGGTATCAGATTCTTTACATAAGAAAATTATAACTGCAGATTGGTTTGTAATTGCTATAAATTTTCCAAACAATCAGACTTCTCTCATAGTTCTGGAAGTTGTGTTGTGATGTAAATCTGTTGTATGCTGCCCAGAGCTGCTTGTTTGTGAGATGGGTGGCTATATAAATTGTATAAATAAATAAATATGTTTTAAACGGTAAAGTTTCTGGTTCAAATGTCACAATAGTTACAAATCAACCAAATTCCAGTAGGCAAGCCATTATCTCTCAGCATTAATTCTAAATTACAATTACATATTTTCATTTAAAGATTCTATATATGCAATGGGTTACCTTATTTTACCTTCCACAGCCTATTCTTCATTATACTTGCAGAGAAGTACAGAAATGATATTGAAGAAAGAATCCAGTGACCATTAGCTTAGCCCAGATAGATAGGAGGGGGTGAGAAAAAACTCAAGATTGTCCTGCCTCGATTCTCTTTAGTATATGAAAGAAGAGAGAGAGAGAGAGAGAGAAAGAAAGAGAAAGAAAGAAAGAAAGAAAGAAAGAAAGAAAGAAAGAAAGAAAGAAAGAAAGAAAGAAAAAGAAAGCCGGCCAGCCTTTCAAGATTCCCGATAATGATAGAGTTCCAGTAGTTCATGCAATATCTGTTTCGTGACTTGGTCCATCTCAGAGGACTGACAGTACCTTCCTATACAGATTTTCTGTCTTCCCTCCATCTTGTTTAACAAGTAAATGTTGTTAACTTTGTATGGATATGGCTCTACCTACTGAATCTTCCATCTTAGCAATATGAAATGTTTGAGAGAGCAGCCTTATTCTCAGTGCTGATACCTACTTCCAAGCATGGTAACTTGTTACCATATGATAACTTACGACATGTCCTAATGGGAAGACCTTCATTTACTGAGCTGCTGTATGCCATGGACTAAGTCTAAGTCTAAGAGATTTTTCCTGTCCTGAATGCCTTTCTAATTGGCCTCTAAAAAATGTATTTAGGGGGAAAATAATGTAACAAAGCCCCATGACTCTTACTGGGATGAGAAATGGAAGGCCTATTTTTCCACTCAATATACCCTTGAAACAATTACCTGGAGCTAGATGAAGTAGAACCTGAATCAAGAAGGGATAAATTTTGCAATGAAGTTTAATCCCTCTGAAAATTTGTCCTATTGGATAGATTGTATCTCAGTGTTTAACTGGCTGAGTTTTTAGTTTGTAAATGTATATTTCATCAAATGCTACTAGTGAAGCAAGCAATTCTACAAAGGATCAGGGCTTATCTGTAATTTATAAGAACAATATTGAACTTACAACTGTTAGCTCTTTAATGTACCTTTATGCTGTTCTACAAATAGTGGCTATGCACAAGTTGTAACTGTGACAACTTGCTAGACTAAAACAGACAGAAGGGCATTTACAGGGAGATGTCAAAGAATTCAAAATGATGGCCATTGTTGCTGTTTCTGTTTTGGCCCCAATAAATGTCAGCACTATGCTGTATTTTCTATTGATGTTCAATTTCATTTTTTAAAACAACTTATGTGAAATGTTTTAATTACAAAAAAATAACAATGCCATATTTCATTAGTGATGCAGTCCAAATGTAACTATCAAATTTTACTTAAGTGATGTTTGTTGAGAGTCATCATTGATTATAAGCCAGGACAAATATGTATGAACTCTATACTTTTATCCATCTTTCTTCATATCTTTGTTGCCCTTACCACTTCAGTTCTCCCAGGTAAGCAAACAAATTTCAGTAAAGAATGGTTGCCATTTGTTCACATACCTTGATCAAGAAGTGAAGTCAGAAGGGTGGAATGTCTCCATTCGTGGGTGCCCATGAGACAAAGGAGGAAAGTGACATCATATGTGTTATGATACCTTTGCAGACCTAGCGGAAATTACATCAGCAATGGGGATCTCCTGCAAAGCGAATCTGTCCATCTTGTGTATTCAACTGGAGAGGTGGTACTTTGGGTTTCCTCCCTCTGAGAGGTGTATGGGAGGAAATAGATCTATAGGAGACAGGGTTTTTCTACTTATTTGTAGCTTATTTTGAATTCCAAATTACCATCCGTTTCTAGCTATTTGATGGGATTTATGCTAATTCCCATGTTTCCAGGGATGTCCACAGGGAGGGTGTCAAAAAAGTCAGGATGATGGCCACAACCATGCTATTGAAGCCCCACCCTTTTTGCATGCATCACGACAGAGACCCCTGCAAGTTTCTTGTCCTCAAAATCATGGCATGCCCCTTAATGCAGATTTCATTATGCTCAGTCTATGGCAACTAATTATAAAAAATGAAATAGTATCCATATGCAGCTCATCAGAAGTTTAGAGATGGAAAATTGTTATTTTTCACTAATTTGGAAATACATCTTTCACCAATGTAGGTACATGCATATATTTTTAAAAACTTCTTTAGAAATTCCATGATTTTACATTATGTATTTTCCCCAAGAGAATGCTTCATGTCCTGAACCCAACAAAGCAAGGAAGCTATTAAACATTGCAATACATTAAATTTGCAGCATATAGCTGGTTTTTTGTTTTGTGGCAGAAGGGGGAATTCCTGATTCCCATGTGTATGTGTACACGCATGTGTGTGTTTGTAGTTTTAAAAGTCATTGTATATTTTAAAGATGCTCATTATACTACTGTTACATAACTTTCTGGGGAAATGAAGAACCCCCTTCTGTTTCCATTGTTCCATCAGTCAATAGTCAAACAATGATGTCTCTTCCTATGCATTTCATTTTATCTTACTGTTACCTTTCTGAGTTCAAAAGAAATAATCAGCAAATTGCTCTGAATGTGTCATATTAACACAGTGCCATGGTTTCTCTCTCGCTGTCTCTTGTCTCATTCACAATAGGAGGACAAAGACAGGCTGCCTTTGTGAAGGTGCAACTGTTTATAGGCAGGGAAGTTATTGTTCTGTCAGTTTCTTTTTAGGTGAATGTGAAATGATGACTCTCCTTTCCCCATTTACATTTAGTCTGCAAGCTGATCTGAGTGGCAAAATCAATAGATAAAGACCCCAAATATCTGCTGGATCTTTACTTGTTATTTATTGAATTGCAGGTAATGGGACATTGATTGGAGCATCTGCAAATGTTGTTTGTGCAGGAATTGCAGAGCAGCATGGCTATGGCTTCTCTTTCATGGAATTTTTCAGGTACGTTTTAGATCTGACACTTATCTAGTTTTGAATTTCACTGTATTTTAGAGATAATTCACTTTTTTAAAACATCAAGATGATGAAGCAGAAACTCCACATAATTAACAGTGTAACAAACAGAGTTAATTAAGTGGGACTCCATTTCAATGGCAAAAATAATGCCTTTTGTTGATTATTGCCTTAACAAGTTGGAGCATTCATGTTACACATTCAGATTAAACTCTGATGATTTGAGGAAGGAGAAAAAAATCTGATAGACACAGGCACATTTATATTCATCTTTTAAGCACAATTCAATCACATTATAACAAGTAATGTTTATAAATGGTTTTAGGAATTACCATTCCTATAGCCCAACTGCTAAAGAAATGCATGTACTGTAATTACTGATTTGAGAAATATGTAATAGATCTGCATTTATTGAAATGCTTCTGAGTTGTATCTAGACTTTGCATGTATAGATTTCCTGAAATCAGTGGGGCTTAAATCCTAACTAATGTCCAATAGTTCAATGAATTCCTTTAAACCTGAATAATAGCCTGTCTGCACTTGCTTCTAACCATGACACAAATAAGCCCCCATCTCATCCCCAGTGAGACAGACCAAAGCTGGCTGCAGCATTTCCTGTCTTCAGCCAGCAGCAACTGATGGCAGATTCAAAGGGTGAAACATCTCATGCACCTGGCTGAGGGCAGGGCAGTCTGGACAGTCAATTCATATGGGGTGGGAATACCTCCTGCCTTTGGGTCTTGGGCACTCTTCTTTGGCACCATTTTTCTCTTCTCCCACTGGATGGAAGTAGCTGCTGGGTATTGGTTACCACTATTGTATGTAGCAGTCTCCCCCAGCCCACCCAATAGATGACTTGTGGGAGGGGAAGGTGCACAATAAAATGGGAGAGCCTGCTTACACAAAAATGGGGTATGGAGGGGTTACTCTGACAACAAATTCAGTGCTCTTTTGAAGGCAGAACAACTTACTGCCTTCTGTTGGTCATCTGGATTTAAAAAAATTCAGATACGTTATCACTGCTACAGTCTCCAATCAAGTCTGTATATGAGTGTGTGTGTATGGTGGGGAGACACTGGGTTTGGCCTCAAATGGTAGACATCTATGGGAGCATCTGAGTTCAGCTGGACACATAGCCTTGAGCAAAACCCCATATCTCCCCAGCCCCTGGGTATCTTCCTGCTTAATCACATCCTAAGAGTACCGACATCTATGTGTTCTGAAATTCCTGGATGGTCTTTTTTTTCTGGAAGGCTTCCTTAATCATCCCATTTGTCACCAACAAAATGACTGCCTATGTATTAAGCAGAACACTTTATTTATTTTAATTTATTGATATGAGCTAGAGTGAAGTGCCTACCTAATCCTTGTATTGGTAGTTTGTGGATCTTTTCTTGCTGATTGGTGGTGACTGGAGATGAGAAGGATGGAAACAAAGCCAGAGGGATCCACTAATAGTTTTAGCTATCAATAACTCAATAAATCAAGACACTATCATTCGTCAACAAGCTGGAACAGAAACAAAAGAGGCAGGATAGGGGCTTGGCAATGAGGTTGGCACATTTTACGCTACTAGAGCTTGCAGGTAACTTGAAGGTGGGTGGAGAACACTTTTGCTTGTCAGTCTAAATCCCAGATTTAGTATTTAGAAAATGTTATCACTCTTGCACATATTCTACAAGGAGAAGATAAAAAATTTGACTGATTCTAACCTAGACAATTCTCTTCACAATGTTAATTAACTTTCATTCAGGTGTAAGTGATAGTGCTTAGCAGAGTTTAATATTTAATGTCATAATCTATATGCTTAGTAAGTATGCATATAATTGCAATAACTTATTGTCTTAACAGCATGCACCACAAGGCACAGATTTCTTTTTTTAAAAATAATAATTTTATTAAAAATTTTTTACAAAGATTATAAGAAATATATTCAAAGAAAAGTATATAAAAATAAGTATGAAAAAAAGAGAAAGGAAAAAAATAAACAGAGAGAAAAGAAGATAGCAAAAAGAAAAAGAAAATAAAAAACCCAGAAAGCATATATAAAGAAATGGCTTCTGATATGCCTCTCAGTAGTTATACATATAATCAAACCACTCTCTTCAATTTTATCATAATTCCCTTCTTTCTATAGCCTATTGTTTCTAATCATCGAAAGCATAAATCACAGTCATTTTCTTTCTCCAAAAGAAAGTCCATAAGGGGTTTCCAGTCATTGATGAATGTCAGTAACGACTTTTCTTTAATCAGAGAAGTCAATTTGTCTATCTCAGCAAGTTCTGTCAATTTCACCAACCATTCCTCCATGGTGGGTAATGCCGAACCTTTCCATCTTTGTGCATATAATAATCTCGCCACAATAATCATATATTGAAATAATCTTCCATGGCTCTTTTTTAACTGTTTACCCATCAATCCTAAAAGGAAAAGTTCTGGCTTCAATTGAATATTAATTTTTAAAATGCATGTATTTGAATCCAATTTTTTTTAGCTTTTTTACATGTCCATCAAGCATGATAAAATGTTCCTCCATGTTGTTCACATTTCCAACATACATTTGAAATACCTTTATACATTCTTGATAATTTCTCTGGCATCATGTATTAACAATACATCATTTTATAAAAATTCTCCTTAAGATCATAACATAATGTAAACTTCAATCCTTTTAACCACATATTTTCCCATTGGTCCATCTGTATGTTACAACCAAAATTCTCAGCCCACTTTATCATACATTCTTTAACCTGTTCTTCCTCCACAAGGCACAGATTTCAAAGTTATAAAAATTGATTAACTACATAGGATAGAGGGAAAAAAATCTCTTACAAAGGGCAATTTGCACTCAACTACAGATAAATGCTAGATTTTTACTTTGCAGAATTTGGATTAATGTTCAAGATTCCCCATGAGTTATGAGCACAATTTTCAGATTATTTTCTTATTGATTGATGCCTTAAATAATAGCATTTCATTCATTCATTCAGACTCAAAAATCATCAGTGAACAGTTGTTATAAAGTTGTTTTAAACATTGATCTAATGCATTCACTGTTACAGCATATTCTACTTCTAAAAAAATCCCCATCTAGAAAACCAGTACCTAGTAATATTTTGATGTCACTTTATATAAAGGCTGTTACAAGCTGTAGTAATGTGTATGAAAACCTTTTGTGGTTAACAATAGATATTTTCCCCTCAATCCTCTTGTTGCTATAACAACCATCAGATTTTTTTAAAAAAATTCAAGTCATTTATTTATCAGGTTTAATATATTGTGTAACATATAGATATAGCCTTATTTAGATATTCTCTTTCTATAAGTTGTACTATGGTATATAATGTACCAAATCACCTTTTCAGTGTTTCATTCTTTAGTTACTTGTTAGATAAACAAAAAATAATCCTTGAGTAACCTCCGCCCCCATCCCCCAAAAAGAAGAAATATTTTAAATAATCTTGTGCTGGTCTTTAATAACAGAGGGTTGAATCTAATAGGATGCAAAGAAGCTGTTGGGGCAGACTTGTTCTCTTCCTTTGTCCAGTCCTTCACATGTCCTTAAAATCTTCTCCAGAACCAACGTTGAAGGGAAGACTGTAAAAAAGAGATGTAGCCTCCACCCTGTGTAGGAGAAGAAATAACCTCTATTCACAGAAACTCACCACTTGATGCCTCTTGATTAGATTACTGTGACATGAGCTACTGTTATATACTGTCTTTTTCTTGAATTATAGGTATGGCCTTTTCCCCCTAAACTGAACAATGACATTACATTTTAAATGAGGGAATACACTGAAGAGAACTGAGTTATTTTGCATTGAATTATAACACTGTGATGATTATTCCTTATTTTTAGGAGAAAACTTAAGTAACTTGAGTGACATTTTGTATTTAATTAATACTGCAATTACTGCATTATTTTTAATTTCTTGATGGACACATATAGATTGAATGTGATATGTTGTGTTATTGCTTTGAGAATAATTTATTACTCCCCTATTTATGTAATAGTGGATAATATCCTGTCCAGTAGAGAATCTTATATCTAAAACGGGGTTTATAAATTCCTAGAGGCTTGGCCCTGTGACAAATCAGCCATTCATTAACAGCCATGTTGATATAAGTTCCATATATAAACCATTCAAAAAAGGAAGCAGCTTAAGGTCAAAGAAAAGGGCAAGTAGCCCAAAACATATCCTCACACACCTATTAACTAACACCCAGATAAACAGGAACAATCAAGGAAGAAATAATAACCTATTCAAAGAGCAATCAAGGGAAAAAAAACCAATCACAGTTGGCAGGACAAGTTTACCTCATATATACGGCCAGCAAACTGCACTCCCTCATGCGCTGATGATGTTATCTAGTCTGGTAATGAAAGATCTGCAAGAAGAGAAGCAAGATGAGAGGATTCCAAGAACCAACAGGTGTATTTAGAAGGAATCAGAAACTAGATCTAATCATTCATAGCATTTCTCAATCAGCATTGTATACCAGATAGAATACTGCTGATCATTGGGACTTGCTCCTCAACAGGCCATGGATGCTGAAGATGTGGAGTGTGGAGAGAGAGTTAAAGGTCAGCTGGGGCAACAGGAAAGACTGCCAGAAGTGTCATAGGTCAGCTTGCAAGGATGACCAGGATTGTGCCAATTGGACAAAAATACTCTTATTGCACTGGTAGTAATCAGCAAAAAAAGAAGGTGCAACTATCACCCTAACCCAGTCAGCTGCCAACTGTGGGATTTGGGCACTAGTGATCAGAGCTTGTTTGCATCTCACACCCTTCAGCCCACTACTATAATTCTACCCTATCCAGTAGGAAGCCTTATCTAATATGGGGGATTTACAACTGTTTTTCAAATATCCTACACAATACACAATGCATATAATTAAAAATCAGTAGCAGAAAAGCCAGAAGAAGGAAATGCTTTTGTAAGAATGGCAGAACCACCCATGAATCTGTCCCTACTTAATTTGGG